GTGAGGTGGCTGTGGTGCCGGGGTGGAAAACGGCGTGTTTGTGAGGAGAAGTGAGTGAGTCGCCAAGTTTGATACACAGCGGGGGGGGTGGAGAGGGGAAACCCCGCGTTTATCTCCCGGAGCAGCAATCTGAGGAGGACACTCCCATGGCTTATCAGAAGATTGAGGCATCGAGGGAAGGTTCTTCCCGTGGCTGTTTTTAAATTTAATTTTATGGTCTGCGTTGGCTGCCGTGGCACGCTGGCGGGTTGTGTCTTGTGTTCTTACTGGGTGCGCGCACACACAAGTATATAAAACCATTGAGTGTTAGGAGTCGGAATCTGTGATGCTTCCCATGAGCCTTAACGCACTCAGAAATGTGCTGTGAGTAGAGCTGGGACACTGCGTGCAGAAGGGCAGTGTTACCACACTGGTAAATTTAGTGTGTAAAAGAAGCTGGCTTTTCCTTCCTGTTACGGAGATGTGGTTAGACAGCATGCGAAGACAGGCAAAAATTCGTTATAGCTGCTATATACACAGTGAGATTTGTATTCTGTAAAAACCACACCGTCATTATCAATCTTGAGCTATCTTAGAAGAGTACAAGAATTCTGTATTGTTCTGTCCAGCATGATGAGACAACATCAGCTTGTGCGGTATTAGTTATTGCTTAAAAAATACACGAAGGGTGTAAGCATGTGCGTGTTTTGCCTACATTCAAGCTGGCCATTCTGAGGTTTATCATTTGGAAAGGCAGTGCCTGTGTGAAGATAACAGAAAGAGCTTTCAGAAAATGGAGGGAAAAGCAAACGGTACACTGAAAGTATGAATACAAATTAGGGAGTAAGTTCACATTTTATTCTAGTTTCATGTATATGTATAGCTGCATCAAATTGCAGTAAATTAGCTTGTGTGTCATATGCTGCAAAACTACTTCTAATATAAATTAATTTCTAAAATGACTTTTCTGTAAGCCATTTTCAACATTAGTTTTATGAATAGCATTTTTACTGTGGACACGTTGATGATACAGGATACAAATAGATTGGTAAATAGCCCAAGTGTCTATGTGTAAATAATAGAAACAAAATAATAGAATAAATGAAGAAACAGAAATCAAGAGAAATGGGAAATAAAATTAATATGGCAAAAAGATTCGTAATACTGGATAGAGCTATTTATTATATGTCTCACAGGCCTTACTAACAAGCGTTTTTTTTTTGTTGTAAGAGAATAGATGGATGGAAAAAAATGTTCAGTGTAGTTATTTTGTTTAATACTTTCTTTTGTTTGTTTGTTTGTTTTTTTTGTCTTTGAATACTATGGCTGTGGTTTTCCTGCAAGTTTGAAAAAGAGATGGGAGGAGATAGGATTTTATTCCATGTGTTTTAATCTGGGTTGTATCTCCGGTTTAAATTCTGTGCCAGTTACCGGTTAGTCCGTTTAAAAAATAATAAAAAAAGTAATTATGTCTTTTTGTTCTTAAAGCAGTTGTGAAGAGATCAGTTCCAGATGTCTGTGCAACTTGCCACATTCACGCTACATGTCATCAAATTGAAGGAAAAAGTGTCTGCATCTGTAACTATGGATTTGTAGGCAATGGAAGAACCCATTGTCAAGGTAGGCTGCCATTTTGTAAAATGGCAAGAAACCGTGTGCATTCCTAAAATGTTTTTTCTTGAGTAATATTACTGAATTCTTCAAAGTACAGCAAAAGCTTTGTTATTTCCTGGCAGAATTTCCAAAAGGTAAAATATGTGTGGATGTTTTTTCCTTTTTTTCCATCGGCTGACCTTGAGCTGTACTGGATGTAAATACTGGTTTTCGCTTAGTTGCTTAACTGTTTTATTCAGTTTCTGCTGTATACTGAAGGATTATAATTAATTTTATGTCGATAAATGCAGGGTTGTATCAAACAATTACTTTTAAAATATAATGTATTGGATTGGTTTTTTAAATGTTTTTTATCCTAGCTTCAGGAAAAAAACAAAATTCAGTGTGGTGGGCTTCAGTTTATTATTCTTTTCAACCTATGCATCATTGAACTGAAAGCTAGACAATAAAACTGACAATTAAAATTATCAGTGCATTTTTGCTAACTTTTCCAGTTATCTCAGATTACTGGCTGACTGAAAATTAATTTAATCAGTTGAATGTCTGTTCTTAATGATAGTGTGCATCTGTACACAGATTTCTTCAGTGCAGCTGTCTGTTACATGGAAAGTGTTGTTCAGCATTTCTGTATTATGTAGCTGATAGTGTCCTTTTAATACTATCTCATATGAGAGAAATCAATACGTGAGTCAGAGGTGATGTCAAACATTGTGTCAGAGTGTCTGTAATAGCTCACCCCTGCTTAAAGAGAAAGGCCCTTCACCTCTGATCTCTTCCACTCCGTATCTCCCCTTCCTTCACAAGCAGTGGCACCTGCTTGGGCCCTGTGCAGAGTTCACTAATGTCATTGCGAGAGAAGAGAAGCTGCATATTTTGCCATGGTAATTCTCTGCCAGTTGAGTGAGTTGGTAAGATCAGCACAAGCTCCATCAAGTGCTGCAGTCAGTGCATGATGTCAGGAAGAGCAGAAGCAAAGAAAAGGGCTCTTTGGTTTCAACAGCTCTTAGATCAGCTCAGGCTGTGTCATGAAACTTTATTCACATCTGTTCCTTCTAGGGACAGTAGCCTCTGTTAATCCAAATACTCCAGCTTACTAGCAGTGTTTACATCCCAAATAATTCGGAAAAACAGTAAGGGGAAGTCTGTTTACCGAAGAATGAGTGAGAAGGGGAGGATACCTTACTTTTCTTAATCTCTCTCTGTGATGTGTTCTAAATGTGCTGACAGATAAAGACGAATGCCAGATTGGAGCCAGCAAGATCTGTGGAAATCATACACTGTGTCATAATACACACGGAAGTTTTTACTGTGTCTGCCTTGATGGATATCGAGCCTCCAACAACAACAAGACATTTATTCCTAATGATGGCACAAACTGTACAGGTAGACATCACAGAGTCTTGAGCACCAGGAATCCAAAACTATTGCTACACAAATCTTTTCTCACATCACTTTGGAATTTACTTTTTAAAACTGTATCACAGCATTTTCTGTTCTGCCAACACTTACTTGTAAGACATCTAGGTTGTAGCAGCTGTGAATCAGTTCTGTTTTGCATTCTTTGCTATGTTAGAAATCATGGCTTTCCAGTCACATTCAAGCAAGAGTCTTCCCGAAAGAAGAAGCTAGGCTAAAGAAAATATGTTGATACTTAATCTTTCTCCAAGAATGTCATATTTTTGTTTAGAGTAGAATGTTAGCGAGTTCTGTGTTACGGTAATGAACTGTTGTAACTGATTAAGACATTTGCAGATACGGGATTTTTCTGGGATTGTTGTAGCAGGAGATTACATTGGAAAGTATTTGTCATGTTAAAAAAAAATAAATTAAAAGATAGCTAGCTACAAAATTGAGAGTCTCCTCCTTCCAGATGCTAGAAACACTAGGTAATGATAAGCTCCTTTGTTTCTCAGAAGAGCTATCAGAAGCTACATAGAACCTTTCATGGAATACCGTGTTTGTTTAAGCTTGGGTCCTACATTAATTAATTGAAAAAAAACAACCCAAAACCTGTTACGCAGTGCATATATTTTTCTTGGAATTTTTAGATGTAGATGAATGCGAGGAGTCTGGGCTGTGTGGTCGCAATGCAAGATGCGTGAATACTGAAGGAAGCTACAGGTGTTTCTGCAATGATGGTTATAAATTAGATAACGGAGAGCATTCTTTTCATCCAGATGGGAACACAGTTTCATGCAAAGGTGAGAGTCTCTGGATGCTGTTTTTGCTAGCTGATAAAGTTAGATCTTACAAGATACAGTAATACCTGCTTTGACCTGTGCTTTTAAGTCTGCAGGGCAGAAGCCTTCTCTGTGGATTTTGCTCACTGTATGATTTTCTTTCTTTTTGGGCTCAGTTTGTACTAATGATACCTGGATGGTAATGTTGACAGCAGATACAGTTTCTACAGGCTCTCAGCAGTGGATCAGGTGTGCAGGGTCAGAGAAGCTTAATGCAATGAAGGTGATGTAGTTAGTTTCTGAATAGGAAGGAGGTGTGGTGTAATCCACTGGCTTACAAAATCGCACTGCATGGAGGGGGAGGGAAAAGAGGATGCATAGCTGGTGTGAGAATTCAGATGAATGGAACAAGCTAGGGGAGAGTAATAATAACATAGTAGTTTAGCTATTTGTTACGTATTCTGCCAACTGCATTAATAAGCTGTTCTGTTTATCTTGCCATAAGAACAACAACAAAAGAGTTGATTTGAAACCGTTCCTCCTTTCCTCCCTAGTGTAGGTTTTCACAGCTGCAAAGTGCTAGCAGTGTAAGCTGTAGCTGTCACAGTATGTAGGGAAGCCAGGCATTCCAGGCTTACGTGCCTCGATTGTACCAGCTGTCATTTCTGAATTATTGTAAGGACCATCAGTAAAGCTCACTGCCTGTAACTTGTCCAGTTTTTCCAGTTGGAGTGTTCCACTTAATTTTGGCAAAGCTGCCACCAGCCCTGCTTATCTCACCAACTTCCTCCTCCACATGATGTGGTAAAAAAGTGTGTCTGCACTGACTGTGTTGCTTGTGGAGTTGGACAAGGAAGCCCTGTCACAGGCAGGAATGTAGCATTTTTATGCAAGCTGGTTCAATGAGGTGGAGGAATTGACAGGCGGGCCATTTAATTTCAGCCTGTCTGCAGTGCTTTGCTTTTCCCATGCACAGGGAAATGAAACTCTGCATTGGGATCTTAAATTTTCATCTGGTGTTGAAGGATCGTGTATCCATTGCTGTAGCGAGACTAGCACACACAGAGCATCATCACATTCTAGTGTCTCCTCATCGGTGTTGTGGATGGCTCCAGCTGTATGTTAGTAAAGATGTAGCTCAATATATGGATCAATGTGTTTCTCCAACTGTGGCTAGTAAAACTTTTCAATTCTAATCTTGCACCCCTTTGGCGACTTCTCAAATTCGTCAGGTGGGGCGTATTTTGTGATGCGACCATCCAGTTCAGCTCATGTTAAAATGATCATATGTTGTGATTTTTATACTGTGAGATCTTCTAACACAGTCTCTTTGCAGAAATTGGATGTGGTTCCCCTCCTGAAATGAAACATGGCTACATTGTGGGGAACTACAGCTTGCTACCAGGAAGTGCGGTTCATTATGAATGTAAGGAAGGGTTTTACAGTGACGAGGGAAAGTTGTCGTATTGCACTGCAAATGAAACTTGGGAACCTGCCACTTTAAGCTGTAAAGGTGAAAAGAGTCTTAAGTCTTTCTTAAATTCTTCGTTAAGTTGGTTTATGCATGGGGAAGTGTGGTAGTTAAAGACAGTAGAATAGTTCCTCAATCCAAAGGATAATTTTTCAAGATCTGGCTATTTGAAAAAAAAAAAAAAAGAAGAAAAGAACAAGTTATAAAATGGTGCTACCTCTTCTTGTTAGTGAGTGATATTTTCGATGCTGGTCCTTTCATTTTTACAGACGCTGCAGTGTGTCCTTCTGCCTGTGAACCAAGGCACAGAGAACAAGTAGATTTCTGTAGCCCTTCCTTTCATGGGAAAGGCCACTGAGTTGGAAGGCATTAGTGACCTCTCATGGAAAAAACAAATTTTATGCCAGCTTGTGAAGTTTTTTCCGAAGGTTGGCTGTAGGCACGAAAGAGAGGCATCATACCACCCTCCATCCCTGCATAGCCTTCGTGATTTTAACAGCATTTGTGTTTGAGCGATTGCTTTTACGTCTCTGAAGTGTTAAGATTCCTGTGAGCATCTTTAAAACTTCCACTTGCTTTGGTGTTCCAGTTGCCCATTCTGTTGAAATATTTGCTCCTTACAAGTACAGAATTTTGTGTTCTGTGAGGAGTTACAAACTGTATATTAGTTAAATGACACTTGGAAGTGCTAGCTAACAGAAGTTACACAACGTATAACAATTCTACAGGGCAGAATGTCATCCTGAAAATGATCACTTAGTGAGGAGAGTTCCTTCTTCCTCTCCTCAAAATACAAAAGCCCTCTTGGTTTCTCATTCTTTCGTGGTGTCTTTTTTGTTTCTTTTGTTTGTTTTTGTTTACTTTCTCTGAGAGAAAATAGAAATGTGATGTTCTTATGTGTGTCTGTGGGAAGTGACAAGCTTATTTCTCCTTTGTGTTGCAAGCTCTTTTCCTGGATTTTAGTTAGGACTTCTCTTTTTGTAAAACTAGCAAGTCTTAATATTTATTTATTTATTTATTTAAATATTAGTAAAGACACCTTTAAATAATTCTTTAAACTCTTGAGAACGTCCCTGATAAGCCTTTATCACTGATTTTTCTCCTGGCCAGGTGTAATGTCATCCTTTTCAGGAAAGTCAGTAAGTTTGTCTTTTGTCTTCCTTCGTATGGTAATTTAGTTTATCTTATGTAGTCATGATAAAACTGGCCATTGAAGATAAGTCAAACTTGGTAAAATGTGTGACCTAATATCAGGATACTGTAAATGGAGCAAGATCCTCCTTTTTTTTTTAATTTAAATACAAGTGTATGGCTATAATGTCTTTGAAGGTTACAGCTTTCTTTGAATATTAATAAAGGAATTGTCTTGAGATGGAAAGTCAGATAGCTTAATGGGAAGGTGTGATGTATGTGAAGAGGTGTAGTTAAACTGTTGAATGTGAGGGCTGTGTCATGCTAACATGAAAGCCTTTTAGATGGCAGCTTACCTTAGAAAATGGACAACATTACAAACTTCTTTTTTGAGCTACTTGACTTCTTCATTTTAGGTATTTGTAAATGACAACTCTGCATGTTTGTGAATAGAGCAACTATTACAGCACATTTTGAACAGATGAAGACTTTTGCTTTAACAGGAAGCTTTTGTGTTGTATGTTGTAAACTTGTCTGTGGTTTTGCATTTCTTCAGTCCTTGTGCACTTAAAATTTTGTCATCCTAAAGGCAGTTTCTGCTCGTCTGCCTCCCTCTGACTGTTGTTCACTGCAAATGGTATAGAACCAGCTTGCCACCTGTAATCAGGGTTGTAAAAGCAGGAGAATCCTATATTTTTGTTTTTAAAAAAGGATGTTTTCTGTATACTAGCAGCTAAGCTGAGGAAGGAGTCACAGATTTAGCATGCCATTCTGAGAGAAAAGCAAGGAGAAGTCATTTCATATGGCAGCAGCTCTGGAGTAGGTAGGAGTAGCTACAGCCCTCTTAGTCATGGTGGGGATGTCACAGAGGGCATCTGGGGGGTGTTGGATTAACACAGAAGGGGGTTAGTTGGTAACAATGACAGCAATATTTAGGGGAGTGCAGCTGTCGCTGCTTCTGCTGCTTGAATAACAAGTTTATCTTCCTCTTTCTTCCTCTTCCTAGGTGTGGACTGTGGGGTTCCACCCTCTGTTTTAAATGCACATCCAGCATCTCTAAGTGGGACTACATATGGAAGTGAAGTTACTTACAATTGTGTTCATGGTTACTTTATGGCAAGTGGCAATCAGACTGCAGTCTGCAATGCCAAAGGACAATGGGATGGTATTGATCTGGTGTGCAAAGGTAAATCAAATCTGCCTTCAGATTTACTTAGGATAGGTTCTCTTTCAGACTTCGTAATAAATAGCAGTTGTCAGAGACATCCTCTTTGGACATTCAGAAGACTGCTTCTGGCATATGAAGTTCAGTTAGAAAACAGAAGCCATATATTAAACAGGTTTCTTTTAATCTGTGTTCCTAATAAGGTTGCAATAAATTGTTAAAAAGTTACCATTCTAGAGACAAAATCCCAATGCATGTCAAACATTAGGATTAACATGAGATGAAAATTCATCCTAAGCTGCTTCCATTTTTCTAGCTCAATATCTACTCTGTGGTTGAAGCCACTGCTTGAAAAGTGGACCACTATTAGCAGTTATCATCCCCTAAAAATGTCTGTATTCAGACAGTTTCCAGTTGCAAACTGTGATTGCTCAAGCAAGCTATTGTTACTTGACATGAGTCCTAAATTCCTTGTTCCTGTGATTTAGAGGAAGGTAGCCCAATAAGTTTCTAGATAAGAATTTAAAGTAAGTATTTTGCCCAGCAATATTTCTAATGTATTTTTACTCTGAGCTGAGACTGTTAACTAGTATTAACTCATACTAGACTAATGACCTCAGGATCATTAGTCTTTAGTCAGTTTTTATATTGACACAACTTCACTTTTTCATTGACTGGATGCTTAATCTTTTCAGCTTGATCCAGCAGAGTCGAATCTTCTGTTTATTGCAGTCAAATGTAGTAATTTCTTTTGAATGTGAAATGTATACTGACAACTGCTCTCTACTTCTAGAATCTTCTCTAATATTCTTATTCTGGGTCACCAGTCCAAATTGAAGGTTTGCTATGTTACACAGAAACACGTTTCTGCTTTTTAGTCTGATTAGGGAATGGCTTTGGGCAGGTAGCTGGAGTTAATCAGCAGTGATCTTCGTATCTCATGACATATTGTCCTTCTAGAAGTTAAGTATATTTTTTGCATGTGCAGTAGTTATTCTAAAGCTTCTTCTCATGATTTATAATAGATGCATACATTCGTGCATTGGGATATGAAGAGGGAGGTAGCCATGATGGTGGATGTATGGCCTGTTGCAATACATATGTTTAACGTCACCTTTACTTGTACATGTCACGATTCTATAAGATTTGGGGTTTATGTCTTTTTTCAGTATAATTTTAGAATTGCTTAAGATTGTATATTAAAAAATTTAAAAGCACAGCATGTAAGCTGTAGTGAAGGTAAGATTTTAATTCTTAAATTGTTCTTGTAAGTTAAGTGGTGCAGAATCTTTTATTAGGGTTTAATGTTCTCTGTAGATTTGAAGGGGAATTTCAACCCTAAGTAATATTCTTGCATTTGTTTGTTCTTCACTCTTTATTCTTTTTCCCTCATTTTATTATGAAGCCTGTGAAAACATCTGAGCAAATAAATTAATTTAAAAGTGCATTACCCCAGCTTTCTAATTACCTTTAACGTGGTCTGACTAATCCCCCAAATATTCTCCTGTAAGTGTACTTTCTCTTGTCTGTATTAGCTTCTCCTGTTTTCCAAAGCTTGAATTAAATCCACTGGCAAAGGAACAGTGGATTCTGTTCTTGGTGCTATTCTTCCATGTTGCTACTTGTGTCATTTTTCATATCTGTTGTTACTAATGATAGGTAAAATAAAGGAATAAATAGCATGTGGGGGTAAAAATAATGTTATGGGAAGGTAAATCTTTTTGTAAAAATCTGCTTAGAGATCTTTGTTCTCCATTTCTAAACATGACACTGTTTTATTTTATGGCTCATCTTGAAGGATAAATGCCCCACCCTGCTGGAAATTCTCCACTCACAAAATTCAGGGTTCTAAAGGGCTGACCTGACTTCTAGAAATCACTAGAAGTGAAAACAAGTGAAGTGTATCTTGTTGGGACAGTACATCTCTCTTCCTTAAACACTTTGATATGCTATACTTGTTTTAATTTTCAGGTTTTGTTATCCTTTTTTTTCTGTTCCAGAAATAGACTGTGGCAAACCTTTGCTGATTCCACACACAGAAATGACCTGGGACAACTCTACCACCCTAAGGAGCAGAGTGCACTATCAGTGTAAAGAAGGATATTATTTTAATGGAGGCAGGAATTTTTCAGAATGCACAATAGATCAGTCGTGGGAGAATATTACGTTTGTATGCAAAGGTACATATTACTGTAGGAGTTGAGGTGGGGTATGCTATTTATGTATTTTCACATTCCTGTTCTGAAGGTAGGAACAGGAGGAAGGATGAAGGCAAGAAATCCCTGTCTAATTTACCATGTAAGCATGTGGTGGTACTTTTGTATGGGAGGGTCACAGAAGAGGATGTTAACCATGCAACATTTTCTAGTGAATGCCACAGATCTTTCTGTAGTTGTCTTGCTTTTTATTTCAAATTGAAAGGGACTAACGGAACTGGAGTTACACTACTGCACTGAGAACTTTGAACTTTAAAAGCCAGTGGAACAAGATGAGCAGAAGGCATTTAACAATATTTTGCTGTGTGCCTAATACTGTGAAGTTCATGATGATGAAAGTAGGGGCAATGGAATTCAAAACTCCTTTTTCCTTTTTTTTTAATCTTCTGTCATAATAACCTAAGTAAAATTTGTTCAAGGATGCCTTTCTAGCATCTGGTTGTCTGAATTTCAGCCCAGAAGGGTTTTCTTAGGAAAGAATGAGTCCTGAGAAGGGAGTTCTGTAATGAAGGCGGTGTCATACTGTGGGCTTGGAAACAGGATATACTAACATTTTAATAACAGCAAAAAAATAGCAGATGTTTTGGATTATGTCTGTTGGGCTCCTTAGTGTTCTTCTGTGTCCTTAGAAAGAGGTGTCACAGGTCATAGATGACTGTCCGTCTCTTAAGTAACAGTGCTGTCCTTTGCAGATGGCAGTGCTTATGCAGCTTTGATATAGGCACATGTTTTTCAAAAGGACTGGAGTGTGTCTTTGACTGCTACCACTTCACAGACAAAGCCTTTACACAGAGAGTTGCTGCTTGATGCCTCTCTTGCCTCACTTGATGTCTTGAGCATTCACTGTGAATATAACTCATGCAACATCAAATAAAATGGGCATGCAGAAAAGAAGTTCTCTCACTTTTTACAGAGCCCTAATAAAAACGTAACGGCTCTTGTTAGAGGGCAGAATTCATATTTCATTTAGGCAATTTGCATAGCTGTACTTTCTGAATTGGCTTTGAAGCCAGCATTGTGTAGAGGGGCTGAGTTGTTCAGGTGTGTCAGTCTTTGCAATGCCAAGAGTTTGGTCTTGAGCACTCTGAAGCTTAGAAGGACCTGACCCTTCAGGCTGCACTCACAGGATTTCAGTAAGACCTTTGCCAGAGGCAAAAATGCATACACCAGCTCTAGCTGTTGGATCAAAGACCCAAAAAAATCAGAGTTACGGGCAAGTAGAATGGGAAAAAAACTTTTAAAAAATAGCTTAACTAGTCCGGGCTCTTTTTTTTTTTTATTATTTTTTTTTTAAATAAATAAATAAATAGGAAATTAGTAGCAAGGTCTTCAGCTTCTTAATTTCTACATTTTTTACACTTACTAGAGGAAACAAATGACTTTCAAATGAATTGACATTTCTCTTTCAGTAATGATGCCTTTCAGATGTATGTGATTTTAAGGGTGTGTGTAATTAATCAGTAATTCCCATTAAAATGAGTGAAAATCATATACCGTTCCAAAATAACTTATGGTAGAGCTGGAAAACAATTTGTCTTCTCCTACTGCCTGAAAAACCTCATTAGAAGCAAAGAAGTTAAGAAATTCCCTTGAGCATGTTCCATTTGACAAATAATTGCTTCTTCATTTCTTAGGCAGTGATTGTTATGGAATGCCCTTTATTAGTGTTGTCTGTTGTATTGTCTGTTGGGGTATATAGCATCTGTGTGTGAGTGTATAAGTACCTATAATAGTATCTGGTTTAAATGTTTAAAAATTGCTTAACAAAAATAATTTTACTGAGAGATGCTGATTGGATTAAGCCATCATCAGTGAAATCTGGCAATAGTCAGCTGGGTAACAATCTTCCTTCCCCAACCCTGGATTTGTATACATAAGCTCAAGACACTTAAGTGCAGAGAACATATCAGCAGTTAAGTACCTGCTGTCCAGTATGTTCAACATGTGAGTCTGGGCATCCTGTTCAGTTTGTCCTGGAAGAACTTCTTTTTCTCATGTGTAGTAGACATGTATGGGTTTATTTATTTTCATTGTAGAAATGGTGTGCCATTATTCCGGCACATACTGTGTTGAGCTCTGGTGGGATTTAGTGGTAAACCTTGGAAGTTTCTTACAGAGTGAAAAAATGATCATCTAATTGGAATATTGTTTCAGTTTGTTTCAGAGGAGGGCTTTGACTGTAAAGCACTATAGCATGCAGTGGTGGAATGCAAGTTAGTCTGACACAATAAGATAGGTTTTCTCATCGTGCATTTTAGAGGAGAAAATGTTAACTTGAGCTTTTTTGGTAGTAATACATACCTTACCAAGAGAGGTTGTTATGGGTGTGGGCTTCAAATTGGACATTAGGTAATCTGAGATTTATGGTTGTTTTTTCATGGAAAAGTATGAAATGAAGCCTTCCTACTCATGTTTTTCTTTTTGAGTAGATTCTGCCCATGAGATCTGTCTACCTATCTACCTATTTATCTATCTATCTATCAATCTAGGCTGTAAAAACGCCAGGAAAAAAGGTGATTTGTGCCTTGGCTATCTGCTGCATGTTCCTAACACAGATGCTGAAGTAAAATATATGTAGATTGTGTATGTGCATGCATATAAGCACATACACACATACAGACAGCTCTTAACTCTTGAGGACTTACTTCGTAGGCATCCAGAGAAAGTTAAGAGGAATTACGGTGAACAAGGTGCTTACGAGGTTACCTTGCTCTTAATTCTCCAGTTAGGAAGGGGTCAGTTCATGAACAAAGGGAACAGTGTGTCTGATGCTGTTTTCTATGTTAATTGGACAATTGTTAGGGATATTTTGGAGGGAAATGTTCTGTTCACCTACTGCAGCTCTCTTCATCCTGTTTGCAGAGTCCTCCCTTCTACTATTCATCAAGCTTTTTTGAATTTCCTAGTCCCAAATCCTAGAGGTAACCTTGTCGTGGCGAGCTTATTCACAATATCTGATCTATCCTTTCTGTAACAATTGGCTGTAGTCTCAGCTATAAGCACACAGGCTGGGTTAGCTGCTGCTCATTATACTGATCCTAGAAAACTTCTAGAAAACTCCTTCTCTACACCTGTTATCTTTGGAGGTTATTGGTATTCTGTGTGTTTACCTTATTTTTTCCAAGGGAAAGAAAATTCAAGCCTGCATTAAAGAATAGTTTTTCAGTATTTAAATACAGTACCACAATTCACTGTTACTAGAAATGCATTTATTAAAGTGGTTTTGATGTGTTAAGTGAAACACTGTCCTTGCAAAAGAAGCAGCTATTGCACATGGGTGGAAAAAGTCCATGGATACGTAAAACAGCTGGAGGGAGTGCGTTAATCTGACTTCCATAGAAAAGTAATGCACATGATTAGTAAAGCCTTCCAATACTCAAGCAGTGGGAAGCAGCTGTTGTAGAGAACAGAGAAAACTGACCTCTGTTTCCCTTTAATGCTGAGTCTGACAGCATGGCAATCTTACTGGTAGGTTCTGAGAGCCTTCTAGTGTTGTGTTAGGCAGTAAGGACGGTCAGCACTTGAAAACATTGTAGAAGAGGAAAATAATACTGTCGTAATTGGCAAAAAAAAAAAGGCCTTGAAAAAAATCAAAAGTGAAATCTGAATCCAGTCTGGAATAAACGGAGCAGGATCATCCATTAGGTGTAATTTAACTGTTAGGCCTACAGCAAAGGTAATTTCCATGCAGTTGAGAGGGTCTGGTTACTTTCTTTTCAATCCACAGTTGTTTTCCCTTTGCTTTTACTTTCCCTTCTGCAATGCTTTATCCCTATTCCCAAAGACAGATTTCCCTTCTAGCTGGAATTCTCTGGGATGTCAGTTTTTACTCTCTTGTACAATCATTACTTGTACAATAAGGGATGGTACAGAAAGGCAGCTGGAATGTTTCTGTAGTAGCAGCATCAGTAATTTCCTCACAACAATGAATGGGTTAACTGTCACTGTCCTAATTTCTATTCCCAGCCATGGTGTAAATAATTTGTGTCAACAGTTATGATCTTAATGGAAAAGGTGTCACTCACATCTGTGGGCATTGATTCAAAACCCATGGGCCTGGAGGGATAAGAACCCCATCAAACAATTAGGATAATTATAGTCATCAATGGAAAGGATCTTGTAAAGTTCTTGTAAGGGCGTAATTTGATACGTTAAATCCAGACATCAGGTAATTTAGTAATTTCAATTGCCTGGAAAAACACAGGTGGATTCTGTGTTATGGGACATGCTACTTCTTAAACCAAAGTGATGAAACCCAGTGTCAGTTAAAACAAAGGAAAAAAAAAAATACAGCTTTTTTCAAGGTGATTTAGGCTTTTGTTTATTTGTTTGCTTGAAACCAACTTAATAATTATAAGTTTGTGATGGCAGATACCAGTCTTGGGAATCTCCTTCGGCTCAGGAGTAGATCATACGCATCTCATCCCAGCCCATCTAATCCTGCCTAGTCTGACACCCTTGATTGATACATCTTTCTTTTGTAAACGTGCTCACAATTGTATCTCTTGCGTTTTTGTCAGGCCAGTTCAATGCGTGAATTAGTCTGCTCCTGATTGTCTCCTGGTAACATTTTTAGACCAAAGGAAGTAGTAAATCATTAACTATCTGTCTGCTCCTTCCTGAATGACTGTCTGCTTATAGCTTTGCTGTTTGTTTGTGGATTTTCTCTGTGTAAAGTTTGGGGCTGAAGGTGAAAACCTGCTGAAATTTTGCAGTCCTGGTTAAAATGGAAGCAAGTATGTTACTCAAAATGAAAAATTCATAAAAACTTACCATACTACCCTAAAAGGTATGAATACTGAAGATATGTCTTTGTAATATAAGTTTCATGTGTACTTGCAAAAGCTACTGCGCAAGAGGAGTTTGTGTGTGTGCTGTGGAACAGGTGCCTTGAAACAGTCTGGGCAGAAGTTGTCTTTAAAATGTTGTTAGCTCTCATTTCGTTTCTGTGTCTGGACATAAGTGGTGCATGTGGTACATGTTAGCAGCAGATGACATTTGCAGCATCATTCACACTTTTCACATAATTGAACAGGCAAAACATACAAAAAAGCTAATATTTGGATTTTAGGGTTTTTTTCCTAAATTGCGTGTATGTGTGGAGATTCGTGAGAAGAGCTTATTAAGTGAATTTGTACCTGCGGATGCTCTTTTAGCTACTTGCAGAAGGTGAAATGTCAGATTGGAGTTCGTTCTGTCTGCTTTCTGATAAATACCATCTTTCCATGCAAGTTCAGAAATACTTCACTGATAAGATGTATCTTGAGCTGAGGTCAGTTGTAGTTAAGAGCTCTTTCAATTGAGGACTAGTGGATTATATATGTGGAAGAAGTTGTGGTTTTAATGGCTGTTTAAACATAAAGTTCTCTCTGAGTTAAGGTTTATTTCTGAATCCGCAAATAGTAACACTGAGTACTAGGACCTAAACTTGCAGAGGCTGATAAGCGAAGGATTAAGGTGGGTCCTCCTGGAACAGGGTTAAGGCAGAAGAGCATAATGCTACAGGCATTAATGCATTGTCTGTAATTACTGTGAACATTTTCCCACTCGCTTATGCACAGAAAGAGGCCCTCCTTCCTAGCAGAGCTTTTAAAGGAGGAGTAAAGAAGACTGTTCACTCCTTGTTTTCCTTCTTAGAAATAATCTCTTCGGCATTCTTAACATAGACTTGCTTAACATTGTCGCCCTCTAATGCTCACTGAATCAATCCCTTTGATGCTCACTTTTTGCATTCTCCTATTTGTGTTCTGTTTCCCAGCATCTGTCTTTTCTCGCCGTTTTCATCTTTCTACCGTCTTCCCAATTTTGCTTTTCAGTATCTGACTCTTCCAGCATCTTTTTACAGCCTTCTGTTATGGAGCCCCGGCATTTGCATGTCGTTTCTAGGACCTTATCCCTTGGGCTGTGAAGGAGATTGAGGTTAATATGGAGGTCAGTGGAGCAGCAGTGGCATCCAGTGGCCTTCTCGGGTAATCACAAGCTGAAATTTCTAGTGCTGCAATACGGCTGTATGGAGGGTCTTCAGTTCTCCATCTCATTTCTGGGTCTGAGTGAAAGCTCTCGATCAAAATCAGGCATGTTGAAGACCTGTCTGCTGAGGCCAAGCAGGTACAGGGAGTTCCCAGGCTCTGAAAGTCACTGGTGCTGTTAGATTTCACAGGAGAGCTAAGCTGTCAGGAAACCTGTTTCCCTCTAGGTGCAGAAATAGTTCTTTCAGAGATACTTCTGTGCCATTACTGGGTACTGTATCTAATTTATTGGGATTAATGTTAAACCAAGCACTTACTGTACATTTGGTTATCCATAGTGTATGATAAGTAGGAGTGAGGGAGGGAAAGCAGTCTCCTCAGAAAGTCCATAATGTGGTGTATGCTCTGTGTGTGCTTTTCATCCTCTTTCACTCCTACCCATTTAGAGTGGAAACTTTTGAGGAAAAGTCTGCCAGCTGTTCTTTGGATGTATAGAATAATATAAATATATATAACATAAATTCAGGAATCAAGTGCCTGATTTTCTTGCTGAGCAGTCTCGAAGATTTCTTGTTAAGCATTTTAATTCAGATCTCATGGATATGCAGACTTCTCCCTCTGGCTGTGCTCTAATGAGTTATTTTTGCCATCCAGTCTTTCAATAAAAATGTATCTGATTTAAAGAACACAACAACTGAACATGCTCTTTTGCTCCATGTCAGTACAGAAGTCTTAATACTGCAGAGTTTCTAGACATTACTGTGAAACAGAAAATAATAATAACTGGCATTTAGTGACAACTATTCACACAGCCATTTGTAAGGAAGTTTGTTTTGGGGAATATGCAGATTAATCTCTTCTTCTTTTTGTAGAAGAGGAAGATTTTAATAGCATTTCCATACTTAACCACAGTTTGGGGTTGGGGCAGCAACAGGTCTAGTGAGTGGGTGGAATATGTGGAGAGGGAAATACTATTAGAAAACAATTTTATGATGGTTTTAATTAAAAAGTGCTCTAAAATACTTAAGCAGTTACACTTTAGTTCTAAATAACTGCCTGCCTATAGGAATTTTAGAGACTATTGATGTACTGATTTATTTTAGTGAAAGCTTCTTGTCCATGTGCTCCATGTGAAATGGTGATGGAAGTTTTAATACAGGGGAATGAGTGCCCTGAGCTATGCTTGCTTTTACAGCAGGACATTACTCCCAAGTATTGAGTGAATGTTTCTGAAGTGTCTACCAGGGCTCGGGGGGGATACTTCATTATCTTGTCATGTGAAGGCAACTGCTCTGTCTGATGACAGCAGTAAGAGAGTTGCCAAAAAAAACTGTATGAATTGATCTCTCTGGCTGTGCCTTTTCTGTGAGGCATAAGCCAACTCTTCAGAGAGTGTAAATTAACACAGGTCTGTTGAGGGATGTATCTCTGGTTGCCACAGCTGTTCTCCACACATGCTTAATTCTGCAGACTTCATTCTTTTAATCTAGTGTTTGTTCTGAAAAGTGTTTCTCTGTGACTGTGTTGTATAATTTTATTTATAATAAACAATGAAAAATGTTGACACCTTTAAAAAAGCAACCCAAACAGATAATGAACCAAAACATTCATTCAGCTACAAAAAACCTTTTCCAATCTTACGCAGAAGCTTTCTTGAACAGCTTTAACGCAAGTTGTATTTAGGAGAGCATTTTTAAGTTTATTGGCTTATAGGCAGGCTCCTTTTCTTAGACAGCTCTTTTAAATCTGCATGACTTTTTTATTTGCTGCTTAATGAGCCTTCTAATCCATCAGATCCAATGGTCTACAAAGTCTTCAAGTTGATTTGTGAGTGGTTCATTCTTTAGAAGGCAGACCATTGCATATCGTGAGATTCAGACCAGCAGCCAAGTTCAAGGAGAGTATAGAATGGGTGGCAGAAGTAGTGGAATTGGGGCGTTGTTTATTATTCTTCGTTTCAAGTGGTGTAATGCTGTTATAAGCACACTTTAATGAAATGCTTCAACCAGAACTGCAGGAATACTTACATGGTACAAGTTTAGTGTATTATGCCTAGGAGGAATGTCTGAAGCAGAGCAAAATGTGTTTTCTCGTTGGTTCTTTTCCTGCATTGGTCACTTGGTGTGAAAGATTCTAGTCGTTAGCATATAATGAAAATCCTTGTGTAAGAAGCAGTGCTGTTATATATGTATGCTTTTATGTAACAGAACATATCAGTGGTCTGATAGAGTTAATGAGCTTATTCCTTTGCTATGAGGAAACTGTAATGTAGTTTTAATGTCCTCTTCAAAGTCATTAGAATTAAAATCGTTCTACGTTAAAATGCAAGCCTCGCAAAGTATTTGTCTTCATTGGTCGTGGTAGTTCACTTAATGTTGACTGTGTATTTAAGGACTTCACAGTCATTTGTTTGGAACATGCTTCTTCAGTTAGCTTTTTATTTTAATTTTAGCAGCTGACACAGTTAAGGTAAAAATTGCCAGCTAGCTTCTGCCTGCATCATTTTGTTTTTCCTGTGTAGAAAAAAAACCAACACCAAAACCAACCAACAACCTTCCCCCCCCCCAAAAAAAAAACAGAGAAAAAGAAAGAAATAAACAATTGCTCCAAACCTGTTAAGATTTGTGTGAGAAATAACTTTTAATTCTGTTCATGTTTTTGCTCACAGAGGAGGAATTATTCAGTAATTTGTCCATATTCAATGAAACATGTGTGGAGTGGGAAAGGAAAACTGGAAGTTTGGGAGTGCAGAAAACATACACAGTAAGTCGGGCAGTATTTGAGTTTGGGAGAAGCTTTGTCCTGGCTGATTCTGGTGAGGCAGCAGTGGAGATTAGTTTTGTGGGTTTTGCTTGTTATTTGTCTCACTCTTCCCTAGAAACCTAGAGGTGTTAGGAATGAAACAAGTACCTGTCCTAAAGTTAGGTGAAAAACTCAAAAGTAAATCACCTAAACATCTGCTTGAAAGTATAAGGAGTGTTTCAGCGCAACTTTGTGTTTTAGTGAAATTCCATTATAGAGCTCAAGGTCACATTGACATAGAAAACATTGCAAAACTTGGCCTCTGTCCCCCTCTGTGATGCAAACATTTCAAGTAAACAGCGTATCACTTGCAGATACTGGGTGTAACTTGTTTTAGAAATGCAAGGTATACTGAAATACCGTACCTTGCTGAAGAGATTCAGCTATGTTTTATCTGAACATTTTGGAACTGTTTTCCTTGGAAATTGAAAGCAACCTTGGTAACTATTTTTTTCCCCATCTATAAACATGAGAATCATTGTTACTGAAAGCCGAAGCAACATGATAAGAATTTGTATGTTTTGAGAATGACAACATCCCAAGAAAGGTTGGTTGGTTTTTGTTTTAGTGTTTTTTTGTTGTTGTTGGGTTTTTTGGGTTTTTTGTTTAATATGGACAAGTAAGAAAGAAAAAGGATTTCCAGGATGAGGAAAATACCAAGGTTGAGGGATAATTTTGGAAAACAACCTATCTTTCTCTTCCTGTGTTAAAATTTATTTTCAGTTTGTGTGCCTTTATGAAGGACTGCTAAGATGGAAAAAAACAAATTCCCAATTACCCTAATGGTTCAAAATTAGAGCTTTTCATGTACCCATTGGCAACTGGCAAGCTGTGGATCTCTTGTGTAATGTGCTCTGTGCACATGGTTTTGCCTGAATTCAGCTATCTGCAAGATGCTTCAGAATAGTGAAAACTAAGGATCATGTAGGTAGGCATAGGCTGCATGTGGTAGAGTTCAGCACATAGTCTGGATCTGGACTGTCCTGAGCTCAACTAGGTAAGTTGGGTTTGTCCCTTCATCTCCTCCAAACAACCGATTTCTGTTTCACTGCACTGGGATAGCCTTAGGGAAGTTTGGTTTTTAATGTTGATTGGCATTTGGTCTTCATATTGCTTCTGTAGGGCAAGGGGGAAGAATGAGAAGAAGATAAAGAAGGTAGCAAACAGATGCAGTTTCTATCTCAGCACTATAAACAAGAAAGAATATTTACTTACACCTTACTGTTTGTGTTGGAGGTGTTTTTAAGGTTTACATGATAGATTCCTTCTATATGCTGTAGATAAATATGAAAAAAATACAATTTTAACAGTCAGAAGAAATTAAAGATTGATTTATTAAGCCATCTTGTTGCACCAAAACTGTTAGTCACAAGCCTTTTTTTTTTTTTTAAAAATTGAGCTGATACTCTAAACTGGGTGTAATCCTAGGTTCTCAAGGCTTAATTGAACCTAGTATTCTGAATTTTGGAGTGCCACAACCACTTGTACCATCGTTTCTGTTAATCCTTCAATAGTTTCACATACGGGGCCAGAGATGGGATGAGAAGACGTTCTCAGAAGACGTGATATTTAACATCACTACAAGTGAAGATAATCCAAAGGTGTGTTTAGATCTCGACTCTGGCAGTAACTACGTGGTGAATATTACTACAATCTCTTCCACAAACACCCCTGTCTCGGTTACAGTAGCAGTTCAAACAAAGGGTAGGTTGTGTTTTGTATTCTCTGTGCTTGTAAGAAGAATTTACTGTGCTGCAGAATTGACTGTTTTGAGTCTAGCAGGCAGGATAACAGGCTGTCTCCTAGACGATCTCATTCTTTATGCTGACTACACACATGTAGCCATCGTCAGCATTTTCTTTTTCTTCAAGAGGTTTTTCTGTTCACTGTGGCCACTGAATTTGTGAGCAAACAGAGCAGTGGCAGTAAGTGCCCTTCAGAAAAGTCTGGCAAAGTTACTTCTTCAGGATTTATGTTCTGGTCGAGGCAGGATTGGTGCAGTGG